CACTCACGGTTCCATGGGTTCCTTTTGCAGCCTTTTTTTTTTCTTTTAATGTTTTTATTGCTTTTTAGAGAGAGAGGGAGGGAGAGGGAGAGAGAGAAACATCGATGAGAATCATCGATGGGCTGCTTCCTGCACGCTCCCATCGGGGACCGAGCCGCGACCTCCTGGTTCCCGTGCCCAGTCACGGCTGGGCCTTTGCAGCTCCTTTTTTTGGGGGGCGGGGGGCGGGTGCGGGCGGGAGTGAGAGTGCTGGGGGGAGATCGCCAGGTGAACAGACAGGGCCCCGGCGGTACCTGACGCCACGGGGTGCACGGGCAGCGCCGGCTCCCGGAGGAGCTTGTGTTCGGGCGCCGGGGACCTGTGGCTGGTGCAGCGGAGTCGGGGAGAGACGCGTCGATTAGGACCCTCGGACCCCGAGCCTTGCTCAGGGGAAGGAGCAGGCGGTCGCAGAGGCGGAAAGAGTGGAATGGGGATGGTATGTAATAACCACAGTTTAAATTCTTGGCGTCAGAGCAGCAGGCAGTGATAGGAAAGCCGTCTGAGACCAGATCTGGGGCCCTTCATGCCAAGAGCAGAGGAGTCTGGCGTTGTTCCGAAGCATAAAATCTTAGATTCCGTGGATCCTATTTGGGTGTGTAAGACATTCACATGGTTCAGAATTTAAGAAGAATAAGGAAATAAAGGAATAATTATTTTGCACACGGATAGTATTTCAGAAGCAAAGAGTTTGAAGCAGAACTTGACCATTAAGAGGGACTGAGGTTTTTGTTTGTGTGCTTTTTGTTTTAATTGCTATTTGCTATTTTAAGTCATGCAGGAGTCAGCCGCAGTGTGGCTGTAATGACTGCTTTTCTGATGAAGACTGACCAACTTACCTTTGAAAAAGCCTATGAAAACCTCCAGACTATCAAACCAGAGGCCAAGTGAGTTCTTTGTTAGAGTAATCATTCTGTTTTTGTGATTTTACTTATTTCAAGAAAACTTAACTTTGTTTGTCTTTACAGGATGAATGAGGGTTTTGAGTGGCAACTGAAATTATACCAGCTCATGGGATGCGAAGTCGATACCTGTAGTGCAATTTATAAGCAATATCGTTTGCAAAAGGTTACAGAGAAGTATCCGGGTGAGTAATAATCGCTCGTCTGCACTGGGACCTTTCTAGATGCTATTTACTCTGACACCAAGCACCGCAGGTGTATTATCTCACTTTCCCAGCAACCCCTTGAGACAGGTCCTTTATTTCCTTTTGAAACTGTGGTTTAGCAAGAAATACCTTGTTCAGGGTCACATGGATTGTGAGTGGTGGATCTGGGATTTGAGCTCAGGCAGTCTGCCCAGAACCCAAGGGATCTCCTACCACATCCTACCTTTTCAACGCTGGGTGCTTTTTAAAAAAATTTCTGAGGTTAGCACTTGTTGCCTCAATTTGACGTTAACTGAATTTTGTCTGAAAATGCAGAGTGTAACCAGTAGATACATTGTCATTGTCATGTAGAGCTGCAGAGCTTACCTCAAGAACTCTTTGCTGTTGACCCAACCGTGGTTTCACAAGGATCGAAAGAGGAGGTTCTCTACAAATGTAGAAAGTGCAGGTAAAATATTTTGTATTTTCTGGAGATTTTATCTTGTCTCAGCAGCTGAAAAGTACTGAAAGTTTCAGTTTATTAAATCTCTGTAGGGAGAATTTGTTTAGTTGAATACTATAGACATTTCAAATTCAAATCTGCTTCCAAGAATGTAATTTCTTAGTAGTAAAGCAATCAAGTTACTTGTAGAGACTACTGAAAATTAAAGTAGCCCTTTAAGAAATAACTGCACATTTCATCTATTTTTTTTGTTACTTTGGAAGTCATTAATGCTTTTGTTTGTTTGGAGGCTGCAGGAGGTCTTTATTTCGAAGTTCGAGCATTTTGGATCATAATGAAGGAAGTGGCTCCATAGCCTTTGCCCACAAGAGACGGGCACCGTCCCTCGTGCCTGTCACGGGGAGTCGGGCTCAGTGCACATCCTATTTCATTGAACCTGTGCAGTGGATGGAACCCGCCCTGCTGGGAGTGATGGATGGGCAGGTGAGGACACACCTGATTTTCTGGTTTCATTAAATCATCTATCTTTTGTTCCTTGTTGCATTTTAAACCATATTTTATCTAGTGTTTTACTCCATCTTAACTACTTTCTTTCTGAAGATTATATCTTTTTAGTGTAGACAAGAATCTATCAAAAATTAAACAAAAACCAGCTGTTCTAAAATAGTGAACCACTCTGCATGGGTTTGGGTTGATTGCAGGCCCGTCCCCCTGGGTCTCTCATAGGTCCCAGGCCAGAGCAAGCTGTGGTCTCGAACCATTGCCTGGCCTCTGCCCGTAGGCTGCAGGCACTGAAGCAGGTTGCACAGTGGAAAAAATAAATAAAATAAAATAAATAAAAAGTGAACCACTTTTGACTGAGAGGTGTTGGTCTAAGTTAGTTCTTTTTAGTGCTAAAAATACATTAGAAGAAAATACAGTAGACTTGTTAAGCATTTTTGGACTTATCTATTTTACTAGAGTATTAGTTTGTTTTGTTTTTAAATAGGCAGGAGTCTGAGGCCTAACTATAGGCTCTGAATATCAGAAACAGAACATGAGAATCCTAACATGCCTTCCTACCTTTAGCTTTGATTGTTTTGGTTTGAAATCTTAAGTTGCAGACTGATTTAAAAGCCAGCACACATGCCACACCTATGAAACATTCTATTTCATGTCTTAAGCTTCACCTTTTCCCCCTGGTGCTGGAGTTAATCTGTTCCTCCTTGAACCTGCTAGGGTACAACATGCTTCTTATTCTTGACACAGCTATTGTAGGAAATTGCTATCCCATTGCATCCCATCGATTAGATCTGAACTTCTTGAAGGTAGGGCCCAGGTCCTGTTTTTATATTCTTTGTTGCCAAAGATAATTGTTTTGTACAAAAGTGAATGAATGAAGTAGGGAATTTGCTTTTTTTTCAGCTTCTGTGCCCCAAATGCAATGCCAAGTTGGGTTCTTTCAATTGGTATGGTGAACAGTGCTCCTGTGGTAGATGGATAACCCCTGCTTTTCAAATCCACAAGAATAGAGTGGATGAAATGAAAATGCTGCTGGTTCTGGGATCACAAACGAGAAAAATGTGAACTTGTGACATTTGATATCTGAAAAAGAAACTTGCTGGATGGTACATGCTACTTGCTTCTCATCGTTCACACGGCGTCCTGGTGTTTAGACTGTCAGCGTTTCATTTGAAATGTGAGAAGATGCACTCACTTGATGTGCCTTGGACACTGTTTAAGTATTAAGACTACTTTATATGGAAATAAAAACTTTCTTCCTTCTAAATCCTTACCCAAGGATACGTTTTTTTTTTTGTTTTTTTTTTAAAATATATTTTATTGATTTTTTACAGAGAGGAAGGGAGAGAGATAGAGAGTTAGAAACATCGATGAGAAAGAAACATCGATCAGCTGCCTCCTGCACATCTCCCACTGGGGATGTGCCCGCAACCAAGGTACATGCCCTTGACCGGAATCGAACCTGGGACCTTTCAGTCCGCAGGCCGACGCTCTATCCACTGAGCCAAACCGGTTTCGGCAGGATACGTTTTTTTTATTGATTTGGGAGAGAGAGAAACATTGATGTGAGAGAGGAACATCAATTGGCTGTCTCCATACGAGCCCTGACGGGATCAAACCTGAAACCTGGGTATGTGCTCTGACCGGGAATCAAACCCTTGACCCTTCAGTGCACAGAACAGTTCTCCAACCAATTGAGCCAGGGCTCAAAACCTCTTCATCATGTAAATTACACTTTATTTGATATTAAAATCTATAACCCAGATACTTCCTCTGTTTCATGTATTTTAAAGAGTTCTGGTTTTGAGAATGTTAGTTATGTGATCTTAAGATCTGGATGAACAAAAATGTAAAAAAATTAGAAACTATCATTTAAATAGAGATATTCTTTTATTTCTAGAAATCTCTTTTTAGAGATATTAGTAAATCTACATGTCTGGATTTTTCTTGGAAATGTAGATGGAAAGGCTATGAGGAAAACACTGACTATGGTGTAGTTTTCTGTCACTGTTCAGGAAGCCCAGGTATCTAAAATTTTAGAAAAGTGTGTTTAAGACTCCTTTTAAAAAAAAAAATGTTTTTATTGATTTTAGAGAGAGGAAGGGTTAGGGAGAGAAACATCAATTTGGTTGCCTACCACACATGCCAGGGATCAAACCTACTACCCAGGTACGTGCCTTTGGACAGGAATCCAACCTGAAACCCTTCAGGGAGCAGGCTCTGCTCTAACCAATGTACCACACTGGTCAGGGCAATTAGAGCTTTTTAAGATGCAAGATTGCTGCCCTAACCGGTTTGGCTCATCTCCAGTAGGGGGCGTGCAGGAGGCAGCTGATCGATGTTTCTCTCTCATTGATGTTTCTAACTCTCTATCCCTCTCCCTTCCTCTCTGTAAAAAAATCAATAAAATATATTTAAAAAAAGATACAAGATTGCTGTATAAAAATCAATAATTACTCTACCCCAGGAGTAACTGAATTAAAAAATTGTGTAAATCAAGACTGTAAAACTATTAAAAGGAAATTAAAAAAGATCTTGACCTCAGGATGGGAAGGGTTTCTTTAGCAAGATACAGAAAGCAGAGATCACAAACAAAAAGGATGGATAAATGTGACGTCACTGAAATGAAAACTCACAGGATAAAAACCCCATAAACAAAGACAAGTGTTGGCCTAGAACAGTGATGGCGAACCTATGACACGTGTGTCAGAGGTGACACGTGAACTCATTGTTTTGGTTGATTTTTCTTTGTTAAATGGCATTTAAATATATAAAATAAATATCAAAAATATAAGTCTGTTTTACTATGGTTGCAAACTTCAAAAAATTTCTATATGTGACACGGCTCCAGAGTTAAGTTAGGGTTTTTCAAAATGCTGACACGCCGAGCTCAAAAGGTTCGCCATCACTGGCCTAGAAGCTCTCTGTAGCATATGCACCAGTGAAATGAACAGTCAGCTGTCGAGAGGTACACATGATTGAGAGAAAGAAAATTCAACAGCAAGTTTTATAAAAGATAGGAATGGGACATTCCCAGGAGAGGAAATAAGGTTTAATAAACACAAAAAAGGATGCCTCATGACTTTGTCAGAAAAATGTAAATTATAGACAACTTTCACAGTGGCAAAGAAGTGTAAAGTGTGACCGTATCTAGTGTTGGTGAGAATGTGGAGCAAAGGGAACCTGTCACTGCTAGCCAGGGAGTAAATTGGTGTAATTTGGCAAATATTAATGCTCCTCTATGACCTGGCATATGTCTTAGACATGCTTGCACATGTAAATAAGGAGACTCACACAAATTGAAACAATTTAAATGTCCATCAGGGAAAGGACAAAATATAAAAATGTTGGGGTGGGGAACACAATTCACTGTTAACAACCAATAAAGTAGACTTGACAACAGTGGAATTGTCCTGGTGTTAATTTACTATTTATACTTTTGCAATAATGTGCATTACTTTTATAAATATATATATATGTGTGTGTGTGTGTGTGTATATATATATATTTTTTTCAAATAAATACTAAAAACAGTTTAAACACATATCAAAAAGTAATGTTGAATGACTTGGAAAATAGAGTATGATACTTTTATGTATATGAAAAACCCCAAACAACACTAAATGTATGTATCTACAAACATTTAAACATGTAAAATAAATAAAAATGGACTTGAATGAGTCCTATAATATTCATAATAAACATTGCCTATGTGGATGGAGGGAAAAGTGGAGTTCAACTTCATAATGTTTAATTTCTTATGAAAAATCTAAAGTGAAAATGGAAAATGTTAATATTTATTTTTGGTGATAAGTACCCAAATGCTTTTTTCATAATCATCTGCCCCCCCCCCCCCTTCTTTTTGTTAGTCCTTATCTGAGGGTATTTTCCATTGACTTTTCGGGAGAGTGGGAGAGAGGGACAGACAGACATCTAAGTGAGGGAAACACATCGGTTGGTTGCCTCCTAGGGGAGCCCAGGACAGGGTCCCGCCTGGGGCGGATCCTGCCTTGACGGGAATCAAACCCCGGACCCTTTGGTCCGCAGGCCGACGCTCTAGCCACTGAGCCAAACTGGCCAGGGCTCTGGCCCTTTTAGTAAAAGGTAAAAGTTTTGAAAATGAAAAAATGAAAACTTGATGGAGTTCAGTCATGGTGATTTAAAAAAGTGTATATGGTGGGTATAGAATAGAAAGCTCTTGCCGGTTTTATTTTAGTTTTTATGTGAATTTTTGAATTTGCGGTTGGGTGAGAATAAAGTGTTAGGAACTTCATCCAAGTGAAAGCTGTCATAACCGATGGTGGCAGAAGTCACGTTCTGGGAAAGGGACCTGGCGCCG